GGCCTGCTGTGTTCATCCAGCTCTACACCTTGTTATCTCTGTCTCTCAAATGTTTGGACATTGCAGGGTGGAACGTGTACGCGTGTGTTTATGTGCATGTTTGTGTTTGTGTGTGCGACTAAAGCATTTCTCAAAAGGTGGTTACATTTTCTTTTTAAAAAAACAGTTAATTTGTTTGCTGTTTACTTGCCACTACAATGTCAATTTATCGTTTACATGATATTCTGTGTTGAAGCCATTTTTTTTGGAAGGGGAGGGAAACGAAAAAAAATGGACAGTATTTTTTTACAAACTTAAATATTGCTGCAGAAATGTGTGTTTTCTTAATTTATTATTCAATGCTTCATTTATTTTGAGAAGGTTATAATAAAGACCCTGGAGATTACAGTAACTGTAAATCATTCAGTCTTTTTGTCAAGAAATTTGTTTTCAGTGCTGTTGACAACGTAGCCTTAAGTAGACTGGTGTTATGCATCAAGTTATTGTGAAACTTCTGGGAGTTGAGGAGATGGGGGAAGGGAGATGTGGCTCTGGGAGGGGCACAGAAAGCAAGAGAAGCAAATGGGGCTCGTCCAACCAAATCAGGATCACAAAAAGGCATTTGAACTGAGCCATTTTGAAGCTTTTTTTAAGAAAAGCTCTTTTTGTTTGCTTAGCTTTAACAAATGGGAGGTGAACAGTGGGTTAAGAATATATCATGCCACCGCATCCCCCCCACCCCCCATCTTCAGCCCTCCCAAGTAGCTAGCTGCATTTGGAGAGAAGTGTCTCTTATAAAGGCACAGTTCACTGCCACCTCTTCATCTCTTGAGATGGCATTCTTCCACTGAATGGCTTCAGGGTGAAATCTCTCCACGTGGCCTTATTAACATGCTCAGGGGTGGGGGAGACCGCTAACTGGTAACAGGACAAGCTGCAAAACAGGAAGAGACTTGTAATCCCTTTTGTCTGTGCATGCGCTTGTTTCAACCTCTGTTCTGTGCATGTTCTTGTCTCTGTTTTTACCTATTTATTGGTGTGTGTGTGTTGTGCATGAAACGTGTCTTAAAGGGCTACCTCTATTTAAATATCGATCAGTGTGTTCTCAGTCATGGTGCCTGTATCTTTGTATGCTAATTATTTCTGGGTTTTTTTTTGTAATTTCTGTCCAACCATCTGTGTGTCTTTTTGTACTAGAGGTCTGTGTGTGTTTTGCTGCTTTTCACAATCTGTCTTTGTGTTTGTGTGACTTGTTCTCTGTGTCTGTCTCTCTCCTCCTATTCACAATGTGTTTCTGTGTCACCGTGTGTGTGTGTGTGTGTGTGTGTCTGTGTCTCGCTCTATGTCTACACTTATGCCTCTCCTGTTCTCAATCTGTGTGCTTCTGCCTCACGCTAAAAGAGTGTGAAACAGTTTTACGTGTATAATGGCTGGTTTAAAAAGTTGTGGAAACTGCACCCAGTCGCTGTTTGGATTGAACATTTGAGAGGAAGAGTGGTGGAGTATGGTTTTGATGTTTTAGTGCAGCTTCTCTCACTGTCCTGTGATTTGTGAAGTGTGAAGTTGGTGTCTGTAGGTTGGGTGGTAGGGGGCATCTGATTTACACTTACTGTGTTAAAAATGAAACTTAAGACACAAACTATGAGGTTTAAATGGGAAACTATAAAGTAATACAGCACAGAAATAGACCCTTCGGTCCAACTTGTCTGCGCCAACCAGACAGCTCTATCTGATCTCATCCCATTTGCCAGCATTTGGCCCATATCCCTCTAAACCCTTACTATTCAACATATTCATCCAGATGCCTTTTAAATGTTTTAATTGTACCAGCCTCTACCATCACCTCTGGCAGCTCGTTCCATAAATGCACCACCCTCTGTGTGAAAAATTTGCCCCCTTTTAAATCTTTCTCCTCTCACCCTAAACCTAAGCCCCTCTAGTTATGGACTCCCCTAACCTGGGGAAAAGACCTTGGCTATTCACTCTATCTATGCCTGTCCTGATTTTATAGATCTTTATGAGGTCACCCCCCTCAGCCTTTGACACTCCAGGGAAAATAGCCCCATCCTATAGCTCCAACCCTTCATCCCTGGCAACATCCTTGTAAATCTCTTCTGAACCCTTTCAAGTTTCACAACATTCTTCCAAAAGAATGGCGATCAGAAATGTATGCAGTATTTTAAAAGTGTTGTCAAATTATGATCTTAAATTTCTTTATTCTACTGTTGGGTAAACAGATTATACCTCCCAGAAGTCTTGGTATTATCTCTGTCAGGAATTGAAGCAGTCTGCTTATGGCATTTAGGTCCCTGACTCCACCTACTTTAGATTTCTCAAGAATAACCAGTGGGTGCTCCATTTAAACCAGCGACTGCATCAAACACAGAACAAAAAGTGGCATTTCGGGCAGAACGCTTAAAGAATAATCTGTTAGGAATCTTATCCAATGCTCAGGAGAATGCTGTCCTTTTTTACCTACTCCACATTTCCCTAAAACAGTTAAAGAAGGAAATCTCAGACTGCAACAGAAAACCCCTTCCGTAATCCTTAACCCATCTTTTTATGGCTCTACAGGATTTTAGTCCTAGATACTAGCAACAGGGTGTGATGAATGTGCAAACCGATTTATCGAGGGGTGGAGAGAGCCCCAGACTCCCCCAGATCTCTCCGCTCCAGTAACGTATTGGATATTATTCCAAAATTCCGAACCAGTGCTCCCATTTGCTGATTTTGTGGGGGTGAAAGTCCTCACCTCCTGACTTGATAGTGAGATACATTGATGCTTGAGAGCTTGGTTCCTGTCTTCAAATACTGCAACCTCTCTCCAAGTGTATGAGTGGGGTTCTGCAGGATGCCAATCTGCTTTTGATGCACTTCCTGGCTAGCAAGCACAGGTGAACTGAGACTCAACTGTGTCCATCTTGTAATTATTCCTGTGTTGCTGTGAGTCACACACCCATTTGTCCTTATCGCAGAATTGTTACAGTGCAAAGTAGGCCATTCTGCCCATTATGCTTGCATCAGCTCTGTCACCTAGTGCCAATCACCTGCCATTCCCCCAATTCCCTGCACACCATTTCTATCTAAATAACCATCCAATGCCCCTGTTGAGTGCCTCAAATGAACCTGCCTCCACCACATTTCCAGGCAGTGCATTCCATACCCCAACCATTCACTGTGTAAAAAAGATTTTTTTTGCACATCACCCTTGCTTTATTTGCATATTGCTTTAAATTTATGCCCTGTCATTCTTCTTTTCTTCTACCTATAGGAAGAATTTCTCCCTATCTATCCAGCCTGCTCATGATTTTGAAAATCTCTATCAAATCTCCTTGCAAACTTCTCTCCAAGGAGAACAGTCCCAACTCCTTCAATCAATCCTTAGAACTGAAGTTTCTCATTCTTGTAAATCACTTCCATACACCCTCCAATGCTTTTCCTATAATTTGGTACCCATAACTGTACACGATATTCCAGCTGAAGTCTAGCAAGTGTCTTGTACAAGTTCAGCATCATCTCCCTGCTCTTGTACTCTGTGCCCCTGTTAATAAAGCCAAGGATGCTGCATGCTTTACTAACTGCACCCAGATCCCTTTGGTCTTGCTCCCCCTTAGAATTGTACGCCCTATTTTATATTGTCTTTCGATGTTGTTCCCACCAAAGTTCATCACCTCACACTTCATTGCATTGAACCTCATCTGTCCATTCCACCAACTTGTTAGGATCGGACTAAGTGTTGAATGTGTGTGTGAGCGTGTGCACATGTCAATGTGAGAGCTTGTTTTGTGTGTTGTACGATTCTACCTGGAACACTGCAAACAACGAGGCAATGAGTCTTCAGGTTCACTCGAACCCTCCATAGGTGTTGGGACAATGTCACAGGCAGCTTTTTACATGGAACTGATAAAGTGCTGCCCTCTTTATTGAAGAGAGTGGGAAATGTGAACACATCAATAGGATGTCAACTGGTGAGGTGGGATGTCATTAATTTTAAAACAAGAATTCAATCACACTATGAGAAATAGACACATGCATTTTATACCCAACAGCTAAAACATGAATTGCCCATTCACCTCACCCCCACCTTGAATTTTTGGTGTGTTTTGTCAATTGCTGGACCGTTGGAACAAAGGTCTGAATCCTGACCACACTTATCCTCCAACACTACCAGCATGCATTCATAGAGTCATAGAGTCAAACAGCACGGAAGCAGACCCGTCATTCCATCTTGTCTGTGCCGACCAGATTTCCTAAATGGAGCTATTCCCGTTTGCCTGTGTTTGGTCCATATTCTTCTAAGCCTTTCCTATTCGTGTGCCCATCCAAATGTCTTAAATGTTGTAATTGTACCCACCTCTACCACTTCGTCTGGCAGCTCTTTCCATACACGCACCACTCTCTGTGTGAAAAAGTTGCACCTCGGGTCCCTTTTAAATCTTTACCCTCTCACCTTAAACCTATGCCCTCTAGTTTTGGACTCCCCAGCTGTGTCTGTTCACCTTATCTATGAGATATAAGGGTAGCTGGTGACTCTTAAACGGAGGAGAAAGGCAACTTAGGCCTGGGGCGGCCAAAGGCATGGCTACAAATGTTCAAGAGATGAAAGTCGGATGGGCATGTGGGCAGAATTGGAAGAGCATGGAGTTTTGAGAAGGTTACAGTGTTAGAGAGGGCAGGGAGGATGCTTTTGAGGAGTTGGAGTCTATCTCCTGAAGCAAACACCGTGGGACCCATGCCGTAGGATATGGGGAGATTGTGGGAGGTGGCAGATGCCTCATTTGTGTCGTCAGGCAAATCTTGAGGCTAACTTTTATTCAGTCTGGGTGGATCACTCTAACCAATCAGATCCTAGTCTTCCTCTGTGTTCTGTGGTTCCAATCATTGTTGTTAGAATATTGCTGAGTGATAAAGTC